ATACATTAAATAAAGCTACACCTGGTGTCTCAGTAACACGTCACAACAGAACATGTCTGTGTGGATTATTTGTGCCAGTGCTACGTCATAGATATAGCTAAGGTTTCTCCCTCCCTCTCTCCGTATGTAGCTGATGGGGGACACATGTACCCGTGGGTGCAGGTTCTGCTCTGTAAAGACGGCCCGCCAGCCCCCACCACTGGACCCAGACGAGCCCCACAACACAGCCAAGGCGATCGCTGCCTGGGGGCTGGATTACGTGGTTCTCACCTCAGTCGACAGAGATGGTAAGGGCTTCCAAAATAGCTGAAAGTTAAACTAATATAAAATTGTGATGTATTCTGGATTCTGGATTACACTAAGCAAAGTAATCCTTATTTCTGGAGCAGATTCACGTAGAGGCTCAGGGTATTAGCTGTATCCTAAATGAATTACTCCACACTGCACTCATTCATGTCCAGATGTCATAGATTGGAAAAAAGGTGGACAATATTATATAAAATAAGAGCTGTCAGCAGTAATCTTAATACCACTTTATTCTTCCTTTTGCAGATATTGCTGACGGAGGGGCGGAGCACTTTGCTAAGACTGTCTCCAACCTAAAAGAAAGGTATAATCTCACATCCCTTTTGGATTTGTTTGTATTTTAATACCTGTGCAAAATGAATAAAACAGCAATTTTGTCGTCCTCATCTAGAGGCCCTCAGATCCTGGTTGAATGTCTGACCCCTGATTTTCGTGGGGACCTGGCAGCAGTAGAGAAGATCGCTCTGTCGGGGTTAGACGTGTATGCCCACAATGTGGAGACCGTACGGGAGCTCCAAAGGTACTCACACTTGATGACACATGAGTTTTTATAAGATGATACATGAAAGTTACAAACTGAGCATCTAATCTGAAGCATGAATCAGCTGATCTTAGTGGCCTCTAATCAGCCAACAAGCCAATGAATAACAGGGAGCGATCAGTAAAAATGTGCAGACAATATATTGTTTTTGTCCTTTGCAATATATACAATATGTTTAAAATATGTCACGTGAAGCTGTTCTAGCAAAGTGTAAATAAAAGCCACCGATCACACTTTCTAGCTTGTGTTAATAGATGTTTCAATCACTTATTATCGAGACAGCTGGTATAAAATCGAGTTTATTTTAATACTGTAGTGTAGTTGTTTGACTTTTTTGTATGAAATTGAATTGCTGGTTACAGCTCTGCCACAAGAGGGAAGTCAGGCACAGGCAGGAGGACAGTAATACACACACTGACCAGCAGGTGGTATATGAGAGCCATTTTTGAGTAGTAAATCCTAGACAAACTGCACAAGTGGGAAGAGACACTGTAGCAGTTTTACTCGTTTGTGTTACTTCTACGTGGTAATATAGGTGTATGTCTTTATTTACAGGTATATATATATATTCACCTTTTTGATTATTTATTGTCTTCATCTGTTTCCAGGCACGTGCGTGACCCCAGAGCGAATTTTGACCAGTCTCTGAGCGTCCTGAAGCACGCCAAAAAGGTCAAACCCACTGTGCTCACCAAGACGTCCATCATGCTGGGGCTGGGGGAGACTGACCAACAGATACTTGACACCTTGACTGGTGTGTACACTCGCCAGTCACACATAAGACATACTTCCAAAAGGTTTGATGTAAAGTACAATCATTTCCTGACCTACACTGTTGTGGTGATATTGCAGAGCTGCGAGAGGCAGGAGTGGACTGTCTAACACTGGGTCAGTACATGCAACCCACTAAACGTCACCTAAAGGTAAGAACATTACACTTTATGGAGTATTGCGACAGTACTGCGAGAGAAAAATGCACGTTTTGGTGAGTTAATGCACATTATGACAACGTGTGTTTGGGGTTAGGTGGAGGAATACGTCACTCCAGAGAGGTTTGCCCACTGGGAGAAAGTTGGGAATGATATGGGCTTCGCCTACACTGCCAGCGGGCCACTGGTGCGATCCTCCTACAAAGCAGGTGAGAAACACACTTCATCTAATCATCAAAAGTGACTCACAGTGGTGGTGAGTGAGATATGTCTGCCACAACCACAATATAATGCTGATTTAATATTTATTATAAAACATAACAGACCACTAGATAAACATATTTACTTCATCTAGCTCACATGGGTCAGAGAGAATATATATTTTTCTGATCTACAGCATGTCTTTTTGTCTTTACAGGCGAGTTCTTCCTGAAGAATCTACTGAACAAGAGAAAAGCAGAAGTTACAATAGCAGAATAAAAAGCCCCAAACCAGCAGCTTTGGTCCTCTAACTATACACATTTACTGTCACAAGCTTTACTCCTGTAGCACAGGAAACACATTCAAACATATATGAGTAGTAACAAAGTTGTTCAAGTCACAAAAAATACACTGGTGACATTAAATATGAGTAAAGAGTTGACATTAACAAGACTCACGTAAGTACAGGGACCATTGCTTTCCACTGTCTACATTTTAGGGAGAGGGGATCAAAGAGAACAAGCAGCAGGCAGAGGCCTGCAGATATGTAGATAACCCGGGGTGCAGACTCTGTGTACTGCCCAGAGAAAGGCAACATGGTGTTAGTCATTTGCAATCTCTGCACCCCAGAGGGGGGAGGGCCCTAAATCACATCCACCATGAATTCCCTCCCCTCAGGGGTCCTGGACTTCAGGTAAAGAGCAGCTGACCTCTAACCACGTGCTCCGTTTATGAGCTCTTTGATGTCTGCGGCTTCAGGACGGATGATTTAATGAAGCAAGAGGGGAATTTTGGGGGGGAGCTGAGGATTCTTGCAGTAGCTTCAGGGTGAAATTGTGTTTGATACTGAAAACTGAAGACTTGTAACACTGTCAAACGCTCCGTTTTAAATTATTGCATTACAAAAAGTACAATTTGAATTTTGAATCAAAAGAGACACTTATCGGCCAATTTGGGCTCAAATTGTACTTTTTAATAACGTAATAAAACACCTGGACAAGAAAGATGTGCATTTGTTTTACACACTGGTTGTTTAGACAAAATAAATCCTACAAATGTAAATGTATATTTTAAAGAATTAAAAATGTTTAGTTCACATTTGCTGGTTTTAATGTTTTGATTTTCTACGTGTATGTTTGATAATCAACAGCCACAAATGACGGACACACATCACATTTTATTGCATTGATGTTTTTAGTAAACAGTAACTGATACAGACGACAAACACTGATTAACATTAACAGTAAGATTGAACAGTATGATTTATAAAAATATTTTAAAAATAGTATAAAATTTTGCAACAATACTTGATTATAGAGTAAATACTGTAAGAAAACTAACACTAATAGTGTTCTTTTGCAATCAACAGATGGTGCATTTATAACTGCATCTGAAATGTTTGGTTGACAAATGTTACTTGACATCGAAATGTATAAAATTAACGGTTTCTGTGTCAGGAATGGTTTATCACTAAACTTCCTCCAAAGAGTTGAACACATTCATGGATCACATTCATACAAAAGGCTCAACGTCTTCCTCTCATCCAACCTCCTGCAGGCGAGCGATCAGTCGCACTGTTTTGGCCTTTTTTGATCATTAGGCGTGTGCCAACAGCAGAGGGGTTGGACCTCAGTGAAATGTTTCACCAGTAATTAAAAAGGTTGAGAGAGGAATGTGCTGCATGTGCGTGGGGGTGAAGTGAGGTCTAGGCTTTGGCTTTCTTGGTGGGAGGTTCGGTGGCAGTGATGCGAGGACAAGCAGCTGCTGGGGTGTAGGGGATTCTTGTTGTGGTCACTTTTTTGCCGATGGTCTCGATCTGCGGACAGAAAAGGGCAGCAAAATAATAGAATTTGAACGGCAGTTGTTCTCAATATGTCTGCATTGTTTTCATTTTGATTTAATAAGACAGTTTTTTTGTCTTCTCACCTGGAAGCCGATGTCCTGGAGGTGAGGGTGAAGGTGGTCCAGCACCCTGCGACCATCAAATATGAAGGCCGGCTTCAGCATCTTCTTGTAAATCTTCTCATAGTCTAGTTCCTATGGTGGGATTAAAGGGTTATGATGAATTAATGTTTTCTTTTTTTCTCAAGATGAAGTCATTCATAAAAGATGGTTCAATTTGTTTTACCTTAAACATGTCCCACTCAGTGCAGATGACCAATGCATGTGCGCTCTGGCAGGCCTCATAAGGGTCTGATGTCACAGTCACAAGCTCCGACACTATGAAAAACAAAACACAACGTCTGTCAATGAAGAGTCAGAGAGCTTAGCAGTCAGAAGAAACATCCTGCTAAATGTGATTTTACATTTTACAACCGCAGTTAAAATTTCTTCTCTTAAAATTTGGCACCAGTAACTGCTGGATAACAAGCCTTGACCAAAATGTTCAATATGATAATAACTTCTATCTAAGGCTGCAACTTACTTATTTTTGTTAGTGATTAACATGCTGGTTATTGTCAGAATAGTGACAAAACCGAAAGATACAGATTTTTACCATCATAGAAAATATTGACCATTTAAGGGTTTGGAACCAGGGATTTTATGGCATTTTCCCTTAAAAATGGCTTAATCCATCATTATCAAAACAGTTAGTTGTTTTGTATGTGATACAGTAAATGGCCTTTTTTTGGGGCTTTTATTACCTTTATTAACTTTAATTAGTAGTAACATGGCCCCTGCAGGAAGCACTAAGCCTTGGTACACGGGCTGCCAGCTCTACCTGGTGAGATATCAGGGCGCCCTGTCCTTGGGTTTTAAGAGACTGATCATATAATCACAACAACCTTTGTTGCAGGTCATCCCCCTTCTCTCTCTCTCTCTCTCTCTCCCTCCCTTCATTTCCAGTAAACTCTCTGTTGTATTTTAATCCAATAAAGGCAAAACCTTCTCTCCTACTCAAGAACACTTTAAATACTTTGCAAGCTTTCAGGAGCTGTGTTTGAACCTTGGCGCACACACACGCACACGCACACACACGCACACACACGCACACACACACACACACACACCTCTTTCTGGGTTGTCCTCCGAGATGTTGGGCTGGGAAAGGTCATGAATGATTTGCTCCTTAAGAACTTTGGGGTCATAGATGAACAGCTTGGCTCCCTCATCCATCAGATATTTAGAGATGTAGATACTGGACGACTCCCTGGAGTTACGACACAAACACACACACACACTAGTATCAACTCTGATCAGGGCCATAGTTCACCTCGGTATGCTGGCAGGTGTTCGTGTGGGGTCAAGTGTGATCAGCAATGACTCTGCATGTTTTGTATGTACAAAGATGATACGAGGTGGTTGGAAAACGCTCTCATACAAACAATGCCAGGTTTAATAATTAACATTAACGCAGTTGGAAAGAAATATAAGAGTAAACCGTTAGACAATTAGGAGGTAACAAATGTCAACAATGGCGTGAGAAGGGAAGGAGACTAACCTCGTGTCGCCGGTGTCTTTTTTGAAGGAGAAGCCCAGCAGAGCAATCTTTTTACCAGTAACAGTGTTGAAGAGGCAGTCGATGATCCTGCAGGCAAACCGCCGCCTCTGGTACTCATTCATGTCAATCACCTGGGGAAATTACAGATTGAGAATGAGGTGAATACAGCAAGCAGACACCTTCAGAATAAAAGAGAAAAATGAGGTGCTGTGCTGCGTCTCACCTGCTGCCAGTAGGAGGCTACCTCAGGCAGGTTGAGGGCCTCGCACAGGTACACCAAGTTCAGCACGTCCTTCTGGAAACAGCTTCCACCAAAACCTGACCAGGGTGAGAGATAGAAGGCCATATTTAATCTGTGTTCAACTGGATTAAAAACACAGAGGCTCACTTTAAACATCTTTTTGGACGTGTTTCTTACCCACGCTGGCCTTGAGAAACTTGCTGCCTATTCTCTGGTCCATACCAATTGCCTTGGCAACCTCCTCCACATCGGCCCCGGTGGCCTCGCACAGAGCACTGATACTGTTGATGCTGCTGATTCGCTGTGCAAGGAATGCATTCGCTGCCTACACAAACACAAAATATGTTTGGGTTTTTTTTAGACTGTACAAATGACATTTGGCCACTCAAAGGAACACAAAGGAAACAATCAGGCAAGTGATCATGTGGGTACTAATAATATTCTGCTTTCGTTTTAGTCATTCTTCAATCAAACACAACAAACATTTGCTGGTTAAAGCTTCTCAAATGAGTTTTCTTTGTCATATAAACACAGTAATCTGAACAGCTTTGGGTTATAGCCCGACAATAATGATACAGGAGTCTAAGAAAATGTTTCTTAAACATAAACGCATAAGATTAACAACAATCTCTATACAGATGTCTTTAAGGAATTGTAAAAAAGATACAGTGGGACATTTTACAGTGTAATAAACGACTTATAAGTGCACTGATATATCGGCAATGAGCTGATTTTCACAATTTTGTTTAATTTTATACGATTAATTAATTGAGACAATAATCAGAAAATTAACTGAAAATTAAATAATGAAAAATTGTTTTTCTTATTCTGTTTTTGGACTTTTTATTGCCTTTAATTGATAGTGGCAGCAGAAAAGGGGGACAGAGAGAGGACAAGACACACAGCTAACAGGTAGGAGTCGAACCCATGGCCACCACAGAAAGGCCTTCACTCACCAGTTTGGAAAGCTCGGACGACCACGTGTTGGTGGTGATGATTCGCGCTTTGGGGACCCAGTGTTCGTAGACGGCACACAGCGCTCTGATTGCCCTTTGACCTTCGGCTGTTTCGTCACCACCAATCAGGACGCGGTCTGGCTCCTTCAGGTCCCGCACTGCTGTTCCCTCTGCAAGGAACTCTGGGTTGGACAGCACCTGAAGCAACAGCACGAGGTCAGAAACTTCCAGAACGGCAGATATCGGACTCTAATCCTCACACTGGTGCAATCATACTCACCTGTAGGTTGAGGCTGGGCTTGGTGTTGGCATCAAATATCCGTCTAATGCTCTCAGCAGCTCGAACTGGGACTGTGCTTTTCTCTGTGACAATCTTGTAGCCATCAGACACCTCCACAATCCGCCGAGCACACGCCTCAATGAACTTGAGGTCCGCCGCACGACCCTTCCCCATCCCATAGGTCTTGGTTGGGGTGTTAACCTGCGAAGAAAGTACAACCACTCTAGTGAATTCATCTATGTGTCATAAATGTTTCTTTTAGTTGGTCAAACTGTGTGTCAGAATGTGTGTGTGCGGGGGTTAACTGAAGGACTCACGGAGATAAAGACGAGGTCTGCATCCCTGATGGCTGAGTCGATGTCTGTGGAGAAAAACAAATTTCTTCCCCTGCATGATTCAACCACCTCTTTCAGACCCGGCTGGAGTGTGAGGAAGTGGAAAAATGAGACAGGGAGGGTGTGTCAGTGGATGCGTAGGACAAACATGGCACAAACAGTTACAAATGTAATACGAGTCCTCAATGACTGGTTGTTAACGGCCCTTTACGCTAGTCACGATGATGTAAGACCTTGTGGTTGACGTAGAGGAGTTGCGACACCGAGCAGCCTGGAACTAATTTATGTTGGATTCAGCCCACGATGGAATAATAAACAATGGCTGGATGGACGGTTGCCCAGCTACATCTACTGTATGAACACTGTTATTAACTTTAACTAACACAACTGACCACTCCTTCGTGATATGTGGCTCTCAAAAGAAACAGCACATAATAAAATGTGACCCTGTGATCCTTGTTAAAGTTTTACAAGGAAAAAAAAATCAGGCAGTCCTGATATAAAACCTTTAGCTCGGTTTCTTTGACCTATTACATGATATATGATACGATACCTCGTATATGGGCAGAGTGTCCGAGTTCCAGGCTTTGATACGAGACTCATTGACATCCACGACAGTCACCGTGATCTCTGGACACATGTTGGCGATCACACTGCATGTTGGGCCTCCTACGTACCCAGCACCAATGCAACAGATCCTCTTTATTTGAAACATCTGCGAATGTACAGAGCAAATAAAAAAAAACATGAAGCATGAGAGTAGATAAACCGGATGAACTGTGACCAAGATACACACTCAGTGGGACATTTTACAGTCTAAAAATCTACTTGTTCAGTGTTTCTGGTGGACAAATGATGTAATGTGACACTGTTGGAGTTTGTTCTTGTGAATTATTAGCCGATGACACTGATATACCTGCAATAAGCTAAGATCAGCTAATAGATTGGGCTGATTGATTTATCAGTCTAGCCTTATTCTGATGTTTCAATGTGAAGATGTTCAAACTTACTAAAAAGTGTCTCACCTGTAAGTAAGTTATTAAGTTAGTTTGGTCTCAATCCGGTTTTCATTTTGAACATTTCCACACAAATAAATCAACATAGTTCACACATTCACTTGCATAGACTTTAAAACCTAAACAATTGAACGATTAATAAATGAACTGGAATTAAGTTTTGGTAATGAATGAATTGTTTAATTCATTTTTCAAGAAAATGTGAAACATTTACTTGCTGAAGCTTCTCAGTTATGAGGATTTGCTGCTCTGTGTGACTTACACTACATTTAAATGAATAGTTTTAGGTTTTGATTTGGACTCCTGGTAGATTAACTGATAAAGAAAACAGACATTAGCTGCAGCCCTGTGCTTTTCCATTCATCTGCCCACACATTTGACTGTGCTGTGACAATAAAAACCTACATAATCTAAATTTACTGACACACAAGTTAGGTTTCTTCCTCACACTGTTTCTGGATCTCCACATGTAAAGGCTCACCAGATCTCCAGTGCTACAGTAAGTTACCAGTCGCACCGTTACACCCTGGTAGAAAATAAAGAGCCTTTCATTACAAACTCAGCCACGTCTCCCACAGATGAAAAACGAGCCTGCTTCCTCCCAGATACCTTTCAGCTGCCTCACGTTAGCTGAGCTGCAGAGCAAGTGTCCCTGTCTGCGGGGTTAAGACCACACACTAACACCACCGGCATTACGCTCATGTACCTCTTCTTTCTTAACGAACTGCGCACAAGAAACAAATGAATGGACGCCTGTGTTGAAAACCCAGCGAGCTATGTGGTTAGCCACCGTTAGCTGCAGTTACATTACCTCTGCCAACTCGACACAACTTCAGACGGTGTTAGCTCCTCTGTCAGACAGCACGTCGGTCCCGGCTCCACTGTCCGCTTATGATCACTTATAAACACCGTAGACTGACACTTGGACCACAGCTCGACGGACAACCTCACACCACCGGGGCTTGTCCTACAACTTCTCCTGCTCTGCCTCTACCTAAACTGAGGTACTTCTGCCAAGGTACCGACACCTCCTTCATGACGCCGAGCGGCGGAAGAGATGCTGCCGCCGGGATATTTTCAGAGTAAAAGCACAGAATTATGCCCTAGTTAATGGAAATTAGGTGGTGGGGGAGGGAAATAATGGAAGTTGACAGTAAGATGTCATTTTAACACTGGGGGAGGAAGTATTCAGGTCCTTTACTTTAGTATATGTACTAATATGACGCTGTAAAAAATACTTTGTCACAAGTGAAAGTCCTGCATTGAAAATGTTACTTTTAGTAGTATTTAAGAGTATTCAGGAAAATACTCAGTATAAAAAGTAAAAGTAGTAAAACAGGCCCCTGTGACTGTATATCTGTATTATATTATATTATATTATATTATAGTATATTATTATTTATGTATTTATGTATAAGAAGGATTTTACTGTTGTGGTTTGTTGAGGTGAAGCTCTATTTCGTTTTTTTTTAGGACTCACAATGACACCTTAACAATGCTTGTGCTGTCCAACCAATATTACAAAGTTCAAAATGTTTAAGAATTGAAATTAAAATAAATGAATGGAAAAGCAGCAAATCATGAAATTTGCGAGGCTGCAAAATTACTTAAAAGATTATTTTCTGTCAGTCGACTAATGTTCAATGTACTACTATTGTAAACTATTGGGTTGTTTAATTTATAATAAAACATCACATATCATAAGCTCTTTGTATGTTTTGTATTCAAAAAGACTGTATGTCACCATTTATTGTTGTAAAACTTGCAAAATCTTCCTTGTTTGGATACATGTCTTACATTTCCACATGCATCAGTAGAGTCAGACAAAATTGACATAGAAGGTAGGATCAGAACATTTTCAGAGCTTTGTGAAAGTCTTTTATTGGATAATAGACTAGGAGCAGACCTAACAGCAGGCCGTAAACAAATTACTGAACAGCACTCATTCACCAGGTCTAAATCCAAAATATTTCTCTCTGTAGAAACTTGTTTAAAGTGTCACCCTCATGCTGGTGGAAAGAAATGTATTATGTTGTTGCATCTTAAATAGTACTTTTTAAATTCAAAACTATATGTTGCGAATGATGGAGAATGAAAATGAATAAAAACAGAAAAAAAGGTGACATGCAAAAATGACCAGCATTTTAAATAATAAAATAAATCCACCAATTAAAAAAATATGTGTTTAACATAAAATACAAGCTGTTAATCAGTTTCTAAGATTATGTGATGTTTTTGGGAATAATAAACTCCATGTGGAAATCAACAGTAGTTCAACAATAAACATTAGTAGTTTAATTACATTAGCCTTTTTATGTAAATATTATTTTCTTATTGCTGCTTTACATTCGGATGTATAACATGGTAAGAAGAGACCACCGCATTTATAAAAAGGGTTTCGTTATTGGAAGTAATCACACATTTCTTGTGTTAAAATTATAAAAATATAAACTCACACTAGAGCTGCTGGCTAATACAAAACAATATAAAATTTAACAGCTGTCATCAACTATGTTTAAAACACACTTTGGATAAAACTTAAAGTACAAAACGTATAATTTCAAATGTAACACATGACCCACAGATATCTTCAGGGTGGTATGTTACAATTCAAATGTTATTTTTTAAATGGTATAGTTTTATTAGGGGGACTCCATGGTGGAGGTGGACTGTCTTGGAGTATCGCTTGTATTCGTCTTTCTTCTCTTTGTCTCTTCTGCTCCAGCTCTTTCCGTGCCTGTTGGAATCAATAATAAGAGATATTAACTGTCAGCATTGTGGAAGAAATCACCACCAAGAGTTCACACAACACAGTGATGAAGAAACACATATAAAATATAAAAGTTATTCTACTTACCAGCCAGTTCTCATACATCTCTAAAGCTATTTTATCTCTCTCTTCTTTCATGTATCGTTCCTCCTCCGCTTTATTTTGGAATTCTTTACGCTCCATTGTGACTTTTTCTTGGATAACATCTTTCTTCTTTTCATGCCTTCACAGTTCAAGAAAAAAAAAAACGTTTTAGAAGAGAGTTAACTGTTGATGTTTCTGTGATAGAGATACAGGGGATGAAACATGACTAAACATCCAGTTTTGGGCGCCATCTAGTGGTTGATCATTTCAACAGCACTGTTTAGTGTTCAACTGTTCTTTTGAAATGCACTACCTCTATTTTGTGAAGGTGTGAACACTTTACTTTCATTACTTTCAAGTAAAGTAGGACAATTTTATGAAGAAATGTATGCACCTCTTCTGTCTACAAATGCGAGTAACTTCTATCACAGAGGTCAGTGCTCAGAGAGAGGTCATGTTTCATAACCCTTTAAATAAACAAACAATAAATCTAAATGTCAATGATTTACACCCACCAGTTAGAAAAAGCAGATTTGCTGTCTCTTTTTCTTTCTTCCTCCTTTTCTTTTTTTTCTAACTCAAGTTTACTTTGAGCTTCTCTTTCTTTTCTGTACTTTTCTTTGAGTAGATGATCATGCTCACGTTTCCACTGTTCAAACACCTGTAAGGTTTATAACATTACTGATTAACATCACATCTTCTAACAGAAGTGCTTATCATATCTTTCAGAATAATGCACCATAAATCATCAATATACCTGTTTAGCAGATTGCTTTTTTTCCTCTTTCTCTTCAATCGCTCTTTTCTCTTTTTGGATAATTTCTTGCTTTTCTTTGGCTTTTGCTTTGAGACTCTCTGCTTTCTTTTCTTTCCAAGCCTCATATGATGCAACAGCTTCTTCCTTTTTAGCTTCTTCTTCCTGGTTTTTGAAAGATGACAAGCAACATAAGTATCGTATAACTGTTGTACTGTATTTCCAATTTCAAAACAGATTATTCACCCTTTTCTTTTTTTCTTTCAAGGTTTCTTCTTTCTTCTTCTGTTGCATGTTCTCTCTTGACTTTTCCTTTTTCTTTTGAAGCCATTCCTGTTAGGAGTACATGTTAGTGGTGTGCTGGCTCTGTAAAACTGTCTAATCCTCTCTGCATCTTAGCTTTGCAGCAGCAACTTTAGCAAATGTTTGCAAACCAACAACACAGCTAACGTTAGGTACATTATTTGGTGCGTCATTCACACTAAATCATGGTATTTGTCATACTATTGGATCTCTCCAGAATGGCTTACCCCACCTTTAAAGTCCAAAGACAACATAGGCTCATTATGACACTGACCTGGTAAATGGCAGCTCTGAGTGCATCTGCTGCTTGCGGCTGAGACTCTTGTAGCGAGACTTTACGATCCAGAACTTTGAGAGATCCCAAATACCTTGATTCCACTTTCCTGGAGCACGCACTGTGCGATCTCTGAGTGGTCTTAGAGTGAGAACTTGATGTCCTAATTTAAATGAAAGGATGGTCCGTTAAGTTACTATCCGGTTATATCCACAAAGCCTTACGTATCTATTGTTGCAGCTTGTTTACCTACCCGGTATCCAATGATTTTTCATTAGAGAGTTGATCTGAGTGATCTTGTTGAGATGAGTCTTGCTGAAAGAAAATATTACACACTGAGATTAAAAATAATCGAAAGAAGAGGCAGAGCATGCTTCTAACATACGACTATCACAGCCACACCTGAATAAATGACTTACATTAAACTCTTCAAATGACGTGGAGTACTGTCTCTCCTGCTCTTTGCTTTCATCTGATATAAATCCATCTAAAACAATACAATGAAATAAAAAGAGGATTAATGAGTTAAAAATACAAGAAAATACATCTATGGTGCTGAACATGCCGGTTGTTACCTCTGGATTCAGTATCAACCGTGGACTTAGTGAATAGCTGCGACTGTTCACTCTTGCTTGAAGAGGTTTTGCTGAGGCTACACGAACCTGCATGATCTCCATCTGTCCACTACGTGAAGAAACAACACAACAAGCAGGTGCTCCATTTAGAGAATGTGTCTTTTTACCAACTGCAACATAAAATACTGAATACCCAAGTAATGAGACACGTGTGTGGACTGCAGCTCCTTACAGTGATGTTGCTGGATGTGCCAGTGGAGAGGGGAATGGAGGCAGAGGAGGTCGGGGGCCTGCTGAGATCCTGAGACTCTTCAGCATCTTCAGCATCTTCAGCTATCTTCTCTGTGGCGTGAAGGTTTAATCCAAGAGTCCTTTGCCTCGGTTTCGGCCTGGGTGGCTCCCTCTCGGTAGCGCTATCTGGACAACAAGAGTTAGTAAGTAACATGAGATGTGCCCTTTGTGACTTGTACATGAAACAGTGTAAACAGACCTGCTGAGGACACGTGGTTGAGGTAAGTTGCTGATAACTGTGGAGTCTCTGAGCTTTCTTCCAGGACAGAGTTGCTCTTCTCCTCAGGACCTGGAGTTTCTATCACGCTGCTATCAGATGGTAAAGGTAGAGGCATGTCCAGGAGAGTATCATCTGATGTTTGGTATGACAGAGACTTATTTGAGCTCTCTCTTGTGATTTCCGGATCGATAGACTCCCCATCACTGTTTTTAAATCGGATGTTATCTTCACTGACATTTGTGGAATGTTGTGAGGAAAATGAGGTATTATAATCGTTGTGCTGACCGACGGAAGAGTCAGGCGGCTCGCTTTCACGTGACTCTGATGCCCCAACGTCTTCCGAGGGAGAGCTGATTCTGTGTGTTTTCAGAAATGAAACTCTCTTCGTCCTGCTATGTTTTCCTTCGTCATCTGAAATCTCAAAGTCGTTGATTTTGGCTTTACTCTTCCCAGCCTTTAATGCGCCAGCCTTCTTTCTTCTTGATTTGAGGAGTTCATTCAAAAAATCTGTAAAATGACAAGAGAGGACCAACCGTTAAACGGTATCTATTCAACAAAACAATCTGAAGTCAAGGTTATCCAAACACTGACATCAGCTAGAGAGAGTACTGTGCGCCTGTTTCAGCCATATGGTCTGTTTTATTGATGCACTGCTGTTATTGTTGTTGCCATCTGTCATTTTCGTCTACAAAGCAGTTGAATAAATCCTTCACCACATTAACATTGTAGGCCTGGAATCTGCAATGTTTATATGTTTATGGTCGGTACCTTTCTTCAGTTTCAGTAAGTTACATTTACTAATAACAGTTACAGTTACAAGTTACATTTGTACTACACTCATTTGAAGGGGCAGAAGTTAGTCATTTTTAACCATTTATCCATTACTTTTAGATATATATAGCTCTAGATTTTACACACTCATGCTTCTTTTTTTAAAGCAAATTATATTTTTTTATTTTTTTCACAACTGCATACAAGTTGTTGGTTGGGAATCACTGTAATGTGTGTAATGCATTTTCACTGTAAAACACAGATGCATAAAAGTACAAAGTAACTCGCACGAAGTGATGTGAAAGGATGGATACATAACTGCTTAGGAGAAGACAATAAAAACAACCTTCATCTTCAACTATCATTATTCACAGATAGTGGTGATACAGACCACTGGTACAACACCAACAAAGCCACTAAAGAGATCAACATCTCATGTAAAAAGCCAGTTTTATAAGTTAGATGTGTTGATGCTCTGCTGCCATCTCACCATCTTCGTCTTCATGGAAGTCATCAGAGTAAGAGAGTTTGTCTCTTTTAGTTTTGCTTGCCCTGGCAGAGACAGCAGCCTGAAGTTCATCCTGTAACGACACAGTTTCAGGTTGATCAGACACCGGAGGACTGTCTCCATTTGGTAACATATCCTGAAAAGGTTTTACCTGAAAAGTTGTCCTTCTCGATGTTTTCGGGCTTTTCTTGTAAGCCAGCGTCCCGAAGTCCTGATGTGTCATTGTAAACACTATTACTTTCTTCTGATTGCGTTCATTGACGAGCTAGCTGTTCGCTAAGTCCACTGTATCTTATCGGCTTCCTGCGCTGCTGTTATAGCTGCATCACCATTATGCAAAGTCTGATAGCAGCATGGTGGTTTTCTGGTTGCTGTTCGGAAATGGTCCAACCTTAAAGCACGCTGGTGCTAACGTTAGCTACAGCGGGGCTAACTGACTTGTTGATGGTAACCCTGGGAAACGTGGAGGACGGTTCCGTTTCAACACTGCGCATGCTCAGAGGATTAACCACAGAGGGTTAAGGAGACTGAAAGAAGCAAACACTGTCGGGCCGGGTGTTTATTTTGTTTGACTGCACTGAGAAAGGTCAAAATAAGAGAAAACACAAATGTATACAAAATATGGTGTACAAAGAGTTCTGTAATCTGAATTTTAAACATACATTTTCTCTGCAGTGTCTGACTACTGTTGTACTAATTTGTGCTGCCTTGTATGTTTACAGCATGTGTTGTGAAACTGTAGAACTTATTTTATTGTTCAATTAAAACGAAGAGCTGAATATTGTATGTGCAAGTAACAAGATAAATTCAAACTTATAATAATTACACCATTAGTATTTCTGAATTGTCTATTTTCGAGTCAAGTAATCAAGAGCTATGTCTTTGAATCACAATATGAGCAGCAGCAGTAAAATTTTAATTACTTATATTGTTTTGTTGCATTTATGTGGTGAAATGTTAATAACAATTGATAAAACACTCAGTATATGGTGTTCCAGTTAATAACAACAAAACACAGCCAGGCAATAAGACTGAATTATTTTTATTTTTTGTTTTGTTATAGGAAAAGTGCATAGTTGAAGCCCTTTTTCTCTGAGACAGAAACAGTGTAAATCAAGGTCTCCTGTGGTGGCAGATAGTCCACTAGTTCATCTCAACAATCTAGTACGGCATCCCAGTTAATTATACGCAACTACATATGGTTTGCTTAACTTTCTCCTTTATATCTCTTGCCTGCCATCTCCCGAGCAAGTCTACAACGATATAGTAAACAAAAATCTCAGAGAACATTCGTTGATATGGAAACGAGCCAGCTACTGAAGACTGTTGGGATGAACTCACACCCACAGTTGTTACAGTTCATCTCCATGTTCTTACACAAAGTATTCAAAAAAGACCCTTCAATTTTAAGACTAATCCATGTAATTTCTGATATTACAGGTACCCTGGAATATAAACAAGGCCCAGATACACTTTAAAAGCCATGTTTCCATGATAGGGGCATCACAACGATACAGTCAGTAACTAGCAAATCAGGAAACCCACTATCATGTACTGCAATCCAGTAACCATCAATAGACATATAAAACAATACAACTTATTATAATGTTCCTATTTTCTTGAGATTTGATCAAAGCTGGGTTGATTTTTTTCTCTGTAACTTTGAGGCTGGGGTTTGTGTTGCTGTCTTGCTGTGTTATACATACCTACCCACATTTACATACATGGTTGAGGAATAAAACCTTGTCAGCATTAGGGGTTGGTTTCTATTGTTTCAGTTGCATTTAAACCTTTAATCTAGCGGATAAACCTCTTGTAAAATGATTTAGATGTACAGAAAAGAACCCTCTATTATAAACCACAGTAATAAGAAAACATGGAGATTATTCCCTCGTCTTCTTCACATCACAAATTTAAAATAAAAATGACCATAAATATTGCTGTTCTTTCACAAGAGGTTGTTCTACAAATGATCATCGACAACAGAACTTTAAATTCACATTGGCACTGTTTTGAAAATGTACTTGTTTGGTTGTACATTTTCATTGGTCTGGAACAGTATCACACAGAAGTTGTGACATAGAAACTTTGATTGCTTCCATTAGTTACAGACTGCTATGATTCTCAATAAGTAGTAAGAACATGCCCTCATCTCCACCAGGCCATCATTTAGACAGCTGAATCAATACAATACACCTTCAAAAAAAAGGAGCCAACATACCACAACAAAAGTGCTAATAAAATATGATTCTCGGCTACGAATACGTCAGTATACATTTTCGTCTTTTAACTACAAAACAATTACAGTACACGGAATCATCTCAACATGATTAAAACTTATTTTGCTTATACAGAATATATTGTTTTACAATGACGACGCACAGTCGAAATGTGAGCATTCAACTGTCAAATTGTCTAAACCCTCTGAACAGACTCATAAAAGATCTGTCAGATCTGTTACTACAGTAACCAAACCCACTGTTACATAAAGGGAGAGACGCAGAGTTAATATAAGGAGGACCAGACTATTTGCTGGCAGAGGGCGAGTATGTAATCTAACTGAGGCCTGGATGTAAACACAGAAGATAAATTCACTGCATTAAAACCCAATATGCCATGTTACTGTACACCAAATCCTAATTCAGAATTTAATTAAACCATATAAATTCGTTACATGTAATCGGTCAGCTGGTTTTAAATATGTGACATTATGTGATATGACATCATTACTGGCACTGTTGTAAAAGTGGAAAGAGTGGAATGTTTCAGAGTCTGAAGAACCCGCCCTGCCTCGTCACTCAGCAAGCACTGCAACAAGACATTTAAACTCTCCGCTACCCCCTCCCTTCTCCCCCAACCCATGTGATGCATTCCTTCATTTTGAGTTTGTGTCTGAGTTTCTGCAGATTAGTCAGCACCAGAGCTGGGATCAGAGACTGACTCAGAACAATAACAAAGCTTCTGATTAAAAGACCTAGAGCCCAGCTGATATATCAACATGCTGGTACTGTCGGCTGATATAGTCAGTCAAAAGAAATCGGCTTATCACAGATATATTGCACCAGTTTAACATTTTTAGTGTTTATTTTTCTCTAGATTCAATTTTTATGTTTGTGAAATAATTGTTTCTTTTATGTATAGTTATTAAATTCCCCATTACATTTCCTAATCAAAGGTTTTATTTATGTTGTATGTTTATGCAACAAAAGAAAGAAATTTAATTTTTAATTTTTTTTTTTTTTTTTAACTGTTAAATCTTATATCTGTATTGGGCTCACTGATCCAGCATCAGTTGGGCTCATAGACAGATCCACCCCAAAACATAATGGCATTAGAAAAGGAAAAAAAGCAAACAATATTTGAATGGAGGTTGACAGGGAGATGGCACCGTCCTGGTCACAGTAAAGAGCTAACTGTGCAGCTCCAGTCAGAGCAGGTGTGTGAATGCTGGTTCGCTGGCTCCGTTGCTAGTCAACAGGTGGTGCTGGAGGCTCTCTTCCCCCTCTCTGTAAAATAAGACAAGATGAGATCACATTTTTACAGTAGGAAAAAAAAAAAAAAAAGGGAACATAATTGGGGAGCACATCCTGAAACTAATGCGGTGAGATTTGGACATACAAGACATTTGGTTGTATACACACACACACACAAGTTTTTGACACTGAATTGAGAAATAGTTGATTTACAGTAAGTTGTGTAAAATAGCTCAACCATAGCCGATTCTAATCTCAACAGGAGACACAGTCAGGGGACGGAGTTATTTCTGTTACATGGACATACAGAGTTAAGAGGGGACATTTTGGATTTGTTTTTTATCAGTGTGGGTACAGAACAACACAGAGGAGCAAAGAGAGAAACATATTGTAAAGGAGAGGAGTGGATGGACCAGGACAAGGAGAGATAGACAGAGAGGAGTGTACATGTGTATTTATTTTTACACATTTGGAACCAAAGACCATGTATGTTAGCAGCAATTTCATGTTGCTATTCAAGTTTTTACTCCAGAAATTATGTCGCCTTTTTTTTTTACTCTGCATTCTAAAATGTGTACTTTTAGACAGTATGTTGTTATAAATGCAAACATTTGACACTCAACTAAAAATGTTTACAGTCAAAGAACTGAATTACTTACTGAAAAGTAATGCAGTTTTTAATAATGCCATCAACAAGTAGCTGTGCTTTGACTCAAACATGACATGTAATGCATTTTAAAATGTAGAGTTGATGCGGAGTTAAAAGGTCCAGAGTTAAAACGAAAACACAACAACTCCTATATTCAGGTGATTAGACACTAATTAAAACATACCTATGAATATTATATTTCATTTCTGACAGTAGATTTTCCTAAATGTTACACACTGGACCTTAATATTACCAAAATATTTTTGGTATTGGTAAACACTTTTTAGCAACTGTAAAAAACACAAACTGTAAAGTACAGCTCCAATTCACAACAGTGTAAACATTTAGTTTCTGGTTCCTAATTTTGGGAGAGGACAGCTCATCTTTCACAAATGTTGACTTAGCAACCTTCAAACATAGAAACTGCGTAAATGATTTCTGCATTTGGCTGCTGCTTGCTGTAACCTGATTTGACCATTATTGAATTAGACTGGTCTAAAACAAATTCAAAAAATACACAGTGATTACAAAAGAAAAAAAAAAAAAGAAAAATGTTGATACAATAATTGCAATATAACCCGAGCCTATCTCTAACAATGACAGCAATGGGAACTTCAGGCATGTTTTAAAGGAAGACATTTTGACATGTGACAGTAAAAGCCAATGTGCAAATAATACAATTATTGTTGGCTGAATTCCATTTTGAGGTTTCCGTTTCAAGGTCCTGGTACTGTGCATACTGGCTCACTGTCATGACTCACTGGGACACTTGGACAGAACGGAGCCATTGTTAATGTTAAAAGTAACACCTGTGCTTTTCCTACTGTGGCAGGTCAAAATGTCTGCTGTGAAAAGGGCCAATAAAATAATAAAATGTGACGCACAACAGCAATAACACTGACTAAAAAAAGAACAAATAATCCACAGGTTTTTGTGGTACCTAACCGCACGATTGAGCACATAAACTACATGGAAATATATGATCAACTATAAGAGCAATGTCAGTCATCTATATTTATAGGCTGAGTGTGTCACTACCACAACGTGACCACAAAGTTAAGTACAAGCTGTGTTTTTACTCCGTGTTTAACACCAACTATAAATTCAGGCATGTGAATACATTTTTCTGCACATTTCTCAATATTTCATCTTTAAAAACAAGGCAGTAAATTGTTCTAACTTTTCAAGACATAGGCCAAATAAGTAGCATGCAGCAAATGAGTTACCATCTTAGCTAACGACATCGATTCTCTCTTTTGTTTCCTTTTTTTTTTTCCTAAATCCACAACTATAGCTTTATCAAATGGTGACATTTTTCAAATTTAATCTGACCCAATGATCAAAACGGAAAATTGTATCTTCACTGTATAATTTACTTCTATTTTTTTGTAAAATGTGAATGTGAATGAAGGCAGAACTGTACCAATATTTAAAATGTTATTGTTGCGTAGGCGGGAGTGTGATCAATAATACTGACGTTGTGCGGTCCAGGAGGTTTGCCTGTGGGACGGGGACCCCTGAGACTGGATGGGCGCAACAGGAACAGGAGCAGAGCAAGCACCATCCATCCCATCACAACCATGGGGAGCGTCAGATCACCTCCTCCACCAACTGGACCACTAGGACCTGGCACTGAAAACAAACACATATTTGCACTTCACACGTATGATCGACATTCCCGATTTGAGATCATGCTTGGAGTGCAGCCACGCTTCCACATGGTCTAATGTGGTCATACATACATTCCTGAGGGCAGTCTGTGTCTGTGCAGTAGGACTGAGATTGCCTGAGCTGAAAGAGAAATTACAGAAGGAACAAAGTGGATGTAATAAAAAAAAAAGAGTAGGAAAAATAATATTATTCATTCTTCCGCTCTTTGACAGATGACGTATTTACTCTGATGACCACTGCCCTCATTCAGGGAGGAAGAAAATACAGGTGATCTATAAAAAGACATTGCTGATAAAACTTCCTGATGCACTTTTCTTGCTATATTGAGCAAACCAACAGCACATATTCACATTAAGATGGTGCAAAGCAACAACCGGAGCTCTGCCTGCCTTCAAAAATATACTGCGCAGTTCTGACTCGCAAATGCTGCGCAAATTCTTTAGTTATTTTGACAACACCCTTTCCTACTGCAAGCAAATCAGAAAACCCCCAGGGAGGCTTCCAGCTCTGAACCAACCGCAGCTCGCCATGCAAGTTACACCTGTGCAACAAGAGCTCACCTGAAAACATCATAATTACAAGCTGTATTCTTTCTTTAATGTAGTTTCTCTCAGTAATTTTGACCTCATCTTTCACAACCGCCTTTCCTTTAAGAAGAGCCAAGTACAACGCAACTGAGTGAAATGTTTGTGTGGCAGGCAGGGCTGATATCCTCTCAATACAAACACTAAACAGGAACCAGGATATGTTGGTTCAGTGACACTCCTCTGCTTTTCACTTCCTTCTCTACAGACTGATTTACTTGCTAGTTGTTTCTCACATTAATCTCTCTGCTCTTCGTACTCTCAACTTCAGCAGGAGATATTTTTGCTTTACACTGCATTCTTGGCATACTTTGACCTGTCCCTGCACCGCAACTCTGCCACTTAAGATTTCAAGTGGCGGTGAAAGCCCACCCGCGTTCCATGACTTACCAGGTTGATGAGACGTCTCATAGCATACTCATGGGTGCAGATGCACTCACAAGGGTCAAAGCCTCCCTCTGCCATTTCTCACCAGGTGTCCACCTAGGAACGAGACAAAGAAAAGGACTGTACTGCAACTAGGACATACATGAACGAGTGAGGGAAACCCAATGCTGCCTCTTGTCAGTGCTGTGCTCTATTGTTGTCTCTCAGACACGCAGAATAGAGGGAGGAGACTGCTCAGTTAAGGACAGTCAGCAAACTCTCTAGCTGTATCACCTGGCTGCAGGTAATCTACGCGTTTGTTAATAAGAGTGAGGGCTGTCTGATTGTCTCTGTATTTATGTTTGCATTTGGCCAGGAGATGCCAAAATATATAATGTAAATAAAAGTTAACCGAGAAATGTTTTTGTTACTCTATTTAAGCATTTAGTAAAAACATGGAATATTTTGCTGCCCATGTATTTTAACATGTAAAATCTGAACTGTGTTACCTTTATGGTGCACTTGTGTTTTAATATAACACTAAATAGGAGTCCCATCATAAATTAAGAGCCAGCAAAGGAATTGGTCCATAAAAGTAAGTGGGTTTAGCTGATTTGTGGAGATCATAATGGAGATAGAGTGAAAGCAAGAAACTATTACCCTGAGGAATT